GATCTATAAACAAATCACAAGGCCATATGCTTAGTCCATCCATCCATTACACCTTCTAAAATAGCCATACATTGACCGATCAAAACCAAACAGGTAATGGGGGGTTACAAAGTACAGTTGGTTTTACCAGGGTGTGTAGCTTAGTACAATAAATTTTCATTCATTTTCTTTTTGGAAAAATTAACAATTTCATTACTTAACATACAAAATACTCCCACTATTTAAACAACAACAAAAAAAAAACAATTTAATGATTAAAATAACAAATACGTATTTAATAAAAATGCATTGTTTTTTGTTTTTTTTGTTTTTTTTTTGTATATCTTTTCTTTAATTTTTTTATATACAAGAATCCAGATCTTCTTTTATTGTTCTCTCCCCTTAATAATTTTTTTCTTTTTCTCTTGTTCTTTCATTAACACCCAAACGTCTGACTGGCTTTATTGACTTGTTTGAGGGTGAAATGATAAAAAAAAATTACGGACTATTAAGGATTTTCTATGGTATTCAAAAACACACTGGCTGAAACTAGTACGTTTTCGTTTTTGGGGTTTTTTTTATCGGTATTAGCCCATGCAAGGCAGTAAAGCCACTGAGGCACAAGAGGTTGCAGAGTGTGGAAGAATTAGGAACAGAAACAATAATGAGTGGAAAGAGAAACAAGTAATCAGGAGGACTGTAGATAGCGATTGACATTGCATTTAAATTTTTGCAGATTAAACTTGGCTGGAAATCATGAAGGGAGTTACACAAGCAAGAAGTGCGAGAGAAGAAACTGTTAGTATTGAACTTACGATTATATCTAGATAGCTCTCAAGTGTAAATTGATGACATATCAACGTCAGTCTCGTACTGCGCTTAAATTTTTAAAAAAAGGTCCAGGCACTATAGCGAAGACCTTATCCGAACACTTACCATGAAAGTATTTATAGAAAAGACTCAGAGATGCAAACTTACGGCGGCAGGGGAGCCGAGTTGCCAGATCAAGATCGATAATATTGCACATAAGAAAAGGGGAAGTTACTTCTTTCATAACGTTATAGAAACCTCATATTTGCATAAAACGCAATTATTCCAAGATTTCAATTCTAAACGAAAAATCAATTATCTCAGCGGTTTTGCTCGAAACGAACAGCTGTCTTCGATTATTCACAATTTCTTCAGGGTATTATTTATTAACCAAATTCTAATTCTATTATTATTTATCTCCTTGGTTATTTCTATATGTGAGCGGGTGTGCGGTTGACGTAATTACTAGTAGTACGGAATACAAAGTTGGAGTTCGAATTCCAGTAGAGTTCGTTATATTCGTTACATATTCAAATTAATGCCTTTATTTTCCCTTAGATCCTCTATACTAATGCATCATAGCTTGATTGTCGTTTCATTAATATTACCACGTTCATTTGAAATAAATTTGTCTATAACCTTATAATGTAATTTAGGAAGAAAGTCTTTGTCACTTGGTCAAGAAATAAAGCAAGCATTACTAAGTAAATAGGTCCATATGATATGTAATGTAAATACAATGTTGATGATTTTAATATAAAAGTGCATTACAAAGTAATTTACTCTTGGTATTCAAGGCGTTGTTTTTCATGAGAGATGTTCTAAAAAACGTGTGTAATCATTGGAAGCACAACTAATAACCTAATAGATAGATAGATAGATAGATAGATAGATAGATATTATTAATAGAAATCTTATAAGTATATGAAACTATACTCGTTCGGAAAACCTTGGTAGGTTTGTCTGGCTCTCTAGGTTTAACTAGATAGATAGATAGATAGATAGATAGATAGATAGATAGATAGATAGATAGATTTGAGCAGACATAGATAGATAGATAGATAGATAGATAGATAGATAGATAGATAGATAGATTTGAACAGACATAGATAGATAGATAGATAGATAGATAGATAGATAGATAGATAGATAGATAGATAATGAACAAATATAGTTAGGTAACGAACTGATTGCGATAGATAGATAGATAGATAGATAGATAGATAGATAGATAGATAGATAGATAACGAAATGATTGTGATAGGTCGATCCATAGATAAAGAACTGATTGAGATAGATAGATAGATAGATAGATAGATAGATAGATAGATAGATAGATAGATAGATAGATAGATTACGAAGATATTTAGATAGATAGATTTGGAACATATGACGATAGATAAATTGATAGATAGAAAGAAAAAAAGAAAGAAATTCGTCTTTCTGACATTTGAGGAATGTTGATTCTGTTATATAATTTTCTGCCAGACACACAGCATCCCCCAGGGACATATTCCTCTTTTCTTCTAAGTTCATCCTATATGCACAATCAACTTCTCTTCCTTTTGATGTATAGGCAATCTTTCTTATCACATGCATGCTGTTGCATGTCCCGTTTGACACACCCGAACGGCAGTGTGTTTCTTCATCGCAGGAAATGAAAACAACACTTCTCTTCCTTTTACATTTTTATTTCGAGACAACATACCAATAATAATAAAGAAATCTTTACCATAATATGAAACATATGTATCAGTCGTGCAGTCTGATCTACTCTACTTAATATTAAGATTGTCCATTATTATGTTTTCAGCATTCTTTACTCTAAGTCAATAAACAAATCTCTATCTATAAAAGCAGGATGGTTGTGTGTGTGTGTGTGTGTGTGTGTGTGTGTGTGTGTGTGTGTGTGTGTGTGTGTGTGACGAATGCACGGCCGCAATTTTCGACGGATTTGCACCAAAATTTACATGCACATGCTCCAACATAGCGGGAAGGCCAAGACCGACTTTGCATTTCCCAACCCCCATCGATAGTGGAAATAATCGATTTTTTCATACTTCTACGGCAGTTTTCATGTAGTTTGCGGACATTTTCTACTGGCCAAATTGAGAGCCAACAGCTGGCTGCCACGAATAGGTAGGACGACTCTATTGGCCAGCGTGAGAGTCAACAGCTGACTGACACGAATGTTAACTAGCATGCAAAAAAATATCTATAGCTGCATTCGTCACAAGTGGGAAAAATTTAAAACTGCATGGCACTTTACTCCAATTGGTTCATTCGCTTGCTTAAACTCAACGTTGATTCTGATTCCGCAGAACTGGGTTGGGCGTGAAAAAGTATTTATTGTTAACATTCTTTTTTCATTCAGTTTTTCCAGTTACGAGTCATTTTTTTAAAGCTGATCGTTTTGTGTTAATTTTTTTAGTTCTTTTTTCGTAACAGATTTAAAGTTTAGTATAGAGCTTAGAAAAAATTAGCAGTGTGAGATAGGCAAGAAATAAGGCATGTAGCAACATCAGCACGGCAAAAGGCACTCCTTTAAAGGCAAGGAAGGGCAAAAATATTTTAAGTCAAGTGATAGCGATTGCTGTACGAGTCGTACGATTTTTGAATCAAGTACGGGCAACATCGGGCCATGCTGCTAGTGAATAATAAATATAATAATTGACGCAACGCTTCCAATATTTTGCACCACTTAGAGAAGATGACTATTTTTTTTAAAAAGACCTTGTGTCTAATAATGTTTAACAGTATTTCAACAGTATGTCTAAAAATTGCATGCATGTATAAGAAAGATATTTAAAAATAAAAGTCTTTCTACAAACGTCGCTCGTCCTGGGTATGACGATAAACTTACATCCGCGTCCTGGGTAAGACGATAAACTACGTCCGCGTCCTGGGCAAGGCGATAAATTACATCCAACAGCAAGGCCTCTGTTAGGGTTCCAAACTGGGGTCAAAATACTATTAAAGGGTAAAAATACGTTTTAATATCAGAAATAATTTGTAAAAAGATTATTACCAGCAATGCATTTTTGAAAAACAAATATTACCAGTAATACATTTTTGGATCTAAAAAAAAAAAAAAAAAACATTACCAGCTATACATTTTTTTAAAAAATATTACCAGCTATATATTTTTGAAAAAAAAATTAGCAGCAATACATATTTGAAAGAAAATTATTACCAGAAATAGAATTGTTGTAGAAAAAAATGTTACCAAAAATAGATATTTTGAAGGAAAAATATCACCAGGAATAGATTTTTGAAAAAATATTACCAACAATAAAAATTTTGTCGGCATTAAATAACCCATTGAGGTTGATATACCGTAAAACAAAACAAACAAAACCAATCTACAAACGTCACTTATCTTGAGAAAAACGGTCGTACTGGTAATCAACGCGACAAAACTAATGAAACGTAGTCAGCGTGAATGGAATGCAACTTAAACGTGAGTAAGATGAGGGGGACATGCTCATCTTGAAACTTTTTTAAAACAATTAATAAGACAGTTTAGTATGAGAAACTGTGGTCATTGGCATAATAAAAAGCCCATGAAGCGAGTTGCGAATTGAAAATGTAAACATCAATCAGACGTTCAAATATGTGGGAAGCATTTTAAAAGAAGATGGAAAATGCGACACCAAGATCCGACCCGCATTTGACTAGCGAGAAAAATCATTCCTTAAGTTAAGCAACGTGCCTAGAAACAGTGGGTGGGGAATTAGAAACAAAAAAAAAAGTTTGCTGGACTACTTTGTGATATTCATCCTCTTATATGGCAGTGAATATTGGACAATCCTTCCCACGGATGAAGAAGAAACTGGAATCAGTAGAAATATGGTTTTAGAGAAGGATACTGAAATTTCCATGGATGGAGCGAGTAAGCAACAAGGAAGGCTTAAAGAAAATGGCAACAGGAAGAACTCTTACATCCAGAATCAGGAAAAGGCAACTGAAATTCCTTGGACACAGAATGAGGAAAGAGAGTTTGGAAAACTTGAACCCCATGGAGAATATTTAGGGCAAGAGAGATAGGAAAAGGCAACGAGTCACCCTCTTTAAACTGTATGAATACATGGTGGAAAAGTAAGCTATATAGATTGAAAATCAAGGTGAAAACGTCGAGTAAGGTATTTCAATATTTTGCTATTGTTGGTGAATACCATTACAGAAGAATACTGAAAATACCATTAAAGAAAATGGCAACTGAAAGAATTTCTTCTTTCTTTCTTTTTATATGCCGTGTCCGTTCAGGACGTAGGCGATCATGGCTCTCCACTTGCCCCTATCCGTTGAGGCCTTCAATAAGTTTCGTGCCTACTGAGCTGTTACGTGACATCTGATCTCCTTTACGGCAGCGAATGTTGGACGATTTCCTCAAAGATAAAGAAGAGACTCGAGGCGACGGAGATGTGGTTCTGCAGAAGGATGCTGAGGATATCATGGACCGAGCGTATAAGCAACGATGAAATCTTGGAGAGTATGCAAAGGAGGAGGAAGAGGCAGCTGAATTTTCTGTGACACATAATAAGAAAGTGGGCCTGGAGAATCTGATACTCACAGGTCGAATAGAGGGGAAGAGGGAAAGGGAAAGCAGCGTATGACATAACTGGCGGGCTTGAGCAAGTTGATGACAGAACGTGGTCCGGGGTGTGGGAGGTGGTAGAGGGATGAAACTTATTCAGAGCTATAAGGGATAGGAGGAAGTGGAGAACCATGATCACCTACGCTCTGAAAGGACACGGCGCATAAAATGAAAGAAACAGTTAGCAGCAGAAATGTGGTTGTACAGAAGGATACTGAGAATTCCATTGATTGAGTAAGAATCAAGGAAGTCCTAATGAAAATGGTAACAGAAAGAACACATATACCCACTTATTTGTACATCTTCATTGTAAAAAACATGCGCAGTACTTAGGCTTTCTTTTTTCTTTTTCTTTTTTTTTTTTTTGTTAGGGTCTGCGACTGGGGTCTTAAAAGTGGCTTATGCTAAATCTGGGGGGGGGCAACATCACTGTTCTATTTTTAGAAAATGTTTTAAACTTTATATTTTATACAGTATTTTCAATGGTTGTATCGATCTATGTGTAATTAAAAACGGTTATTTTACGTATGAAAGAAAATTTACGCTAAGTGTATATGGTCACCAATACTATTTTTCAAAAATGTTTTTAAAAGTGTCTGGAATATTTCTAAAAGTGTTTAGGATGAAAGTTTAAGATATATGGGGTTTTCATAATCAAAATGGGTACTTAAAAGAACTTTGGGGGTGGGGTACAAGTATTCACGTATTCTAACTATTCGCGGCCGGTTCTGGTCCCTAACCCCGCGAATACGGGCCACTCACTGCACATCTCTTTCCCCCACATGCCGGTTAAATAGCAGGACTCGTATCAGTAAATCGTTATTATCCCAAAAAAATACTTACAATCCAAAAATATCTTCTGGCTTTAAATAACCTGCAAAAGGGTTGATAAACCGTAAAATAACAAATAAATCGGACCCATTGTATCCTTAAAGAAAATGGTAACAGAAAGAACACTTCTACTCAGAATCAGGAAAAGACAGCTGAAATTCCTTGGACACATAATGAGGAAGGGTGGCTTGGAAAACTTAACACTCACAAGGGCATATTGAGGGCAAAAGAGAGGGGAAAATAGCGAAACACTTACCTGTGAACTTCTGGGAATGGATTCCAGAACGGGGACAAAGGCCTTAGTAAGGATTTTTAAAAAAGACACACGAAACAGGAAGTTGGAATAAAAGAAAATATATATATATGTATATAAATAAAAAGAAAGAACAGTAAGATATAAAATCCGGTGTTCTTATAGATATTTTTATTTTTACAAAATAGTGCTCAATGTAAATTTACAGAGCATTAATATTATAAATTAATTGATTTAAAATATGGTTTTTTCCGCTACACAGTTCCAACCATGTTTCAAAAATAGAATGCTTTTAATTTAATTGCAAAATTAAATTCGGGGTTTTTAGCTTCTATTTTTGAAACATGGTTGAACTGTGTAGCGAAAAAACCATATTTTAAATCAATTAATTTATAATATATATATATATATATTATGTAACTCTCCTGCCATATTCTTCATTCTCCCAAGTTGGACGTTAGTCGTTTTTTTATGTAATTATCATGCGTTTCAAAGACTGAAAGGCCGGTGAATTCTTGATATTTTTTTCCAGATGTGTACTTTAAAGTATACATTCTGAAAAAAAAATATTATTCTAATAATAATAATAATAATAATAATAATAACAATAATAATAAGCGATATTTCGTATTAAGATAACAACGGGATATTTCATTACTAAGTGGAAACCATTATGCTGCTAATTCATTGTTCATTTTTTTTTTCGCTTCATTTTCTCTGAATATTTTTGCACTTAAAGATTTAAGATGCAGAATTCCTTATTACATGCAACTATAGAGTTAATTGTTTCGATTCCAAATCCTAGATTCAGTCAGTCAAGTGCCATACGCGATACAAGCGTGGGCGATCATTCACAATTGACGAGGCAGAATATTTTCCCCGCAGTAAGTTTCCGTTTCATTCTGCGGTAGCCTAGTTGCTAATCAAGACTATAGAACCCGTTCTGTCCTGCTATTCAACCCATATCTGGGGGAGATAAGTGATGGATTCATACCTTTTCCAAGGCTATTTGTGCGTAATTGAATGTATGTTGGTTGATTTTTTTATCGGCATATCAACCTCTGTGGGTTATTTAATACCGAAATCTATTTTAAAAATAATTATATGCCTACAACTACAGATAAAATATATTGTTGGTCATTTTATTATAAACAGCTATTATTGGTAAGTTTTACTATAAATAGGTATTTTTGTTCATTTTACTATAAATATGTCTTGGTAATTATTTTATATAAAAATGTATTGCTGGTATTTTTTACTCTAACAATATTTTTTTATACTTTCATAGTGTCTTGCTTTTTGTTATATCCCGTGCTAAGGGAATAAACACTTAACACCAAGTGGATACTAGACGAAAGATTTATTGTACACAAGTACAATATGAAATACGGTACAGTTATACACACAGGTCCATCTAGTAGTGAGTGCCACTAATTGAAAGGTCGGATGTGCTTGCGTCGTCTTGCTCTCACGCTTCTCCTGAGTCTCTCGTAGACGGTTGGCTTCATAGGTACTTGCTACCTATAGTGTAATCATTCATGAGGGTGACTGGTTATTCCATTACATCACTTTTGTTTGAGGTTTACTATTTGCCCATTGCTGAAACCCTGCTAACACCCCGGGTCAGGATAGACCTGAGAACAAGAACGATTAACAGGTGGCTCCACGTTCTTCAAAAGCTCCAATCTCCTGATCAGAGGCCTTGTTGTCCGGTGTAAGCGAATGTAACCCTAACCCCACTTGTATTCGCATTCGGTTCTTCCATTCCGAGACGATATTCATTACACCACAGCGCACATCCTCAGGCCAAAAATATAATCAACGCAGTTGCAAAATTATTTAATATTGCTGCCATATTTGACGTTACGATTCGTTCTTATTTTTAAATATTTTTACTTCTAATAATTTCAAAAGCAGAATTCTTTCTTGCATGTAATAAGAGAATTGTATAGATAAAAATCATGGAGAAATTGTTTTTTTTTTTTACAATAATGACGAAGTCAAAAGCCACTCGAGGTAGACGGTTACAGAGTAAAAGACACAGTCTATGTGGATAAGTGGAGGCCATAACGGTTTACCCTAGACTTGAACAGGTTTAGGTTCTAGCGATCGGAGAAGCATCCTCTTAGAAATCGGTTCCACAAAGCAGCGGAACTTACATTTTACCAATGGAATACGAAGGGAATGAGGGTGGTTCGGTACAATGGGCGTGGCGTGGCATGGTGAGTCTTAGCCGATATGTAGTTTGACTGAATGTATAATCAATATAGTTGCAAAACTATTTAAATATGGCTGTGTTTTCTTTTTGTTTTTGATAATACTAATAAATTATTAAAAACCAAATAGCATTTAGCAAAACATGGAAACATACATACATATATATATATATATATATATATATATATATATATATATATATATATATATATATAATATTAGTGGCCATATATATATATATATTTCCAAGAGGATAGAATCCATGTAGATCTCAATGTACAAGACAAAGTTTTTCATTTTTACTTTTTATTATCATGAGTGGTAATAATAAAACTAATTTTTGTCTGTTTATGGCAGTGATATGTATATATGTATATCTTCGTCTGCCGAAATAGGCTATTCCCCATATGAGGTAATTTGGTATTTTATTGTTTATTACATATATATATATACATATATATATATATCCTCACTGGGTCCCCATACTTTCGGCCTTGTGCCACATCTAAGCAGGGCTTAGAAAATCATCATATATATATATATATATATATATATATATATATATATATATATATATATATATATGTATGTATGTATGTATGTATGTAATAAACAATAAAATCCAAAATTATCTCATATGGGGAATAAGCTATTTCGGCAGATGAAGATGTCGGTGGTCTGTCTTATCAACCCCGGTGTGGACTGTCGAAAAACTAATCCAGAATTTATCCATTTCAATGTTTCAGTCAGACGAAAGGCACTAGACAGGAGTCAGTAGAGAGTGGAAGGTATTTGTCTTATAAGGAAAGAAGTTTTATAAAGTTAAACCCGAATATTCACCTTATGACATTAATTTTGGGTTAAATGAAGAACGACTTAATATAGGAATAAAAAGGGGTTTAAAAATAACTTTTAAATATATAGATAAAATGATGTAAGGGATTAATGGAAAGAGAGTTGGGGAGATATTAAAGTAGGGGAAAGTTTATAAATATAGTGTAAAGAGATTATAGAGGGAGGGAAATAAAATATAAAAATTAGAATTAGTTAAACTGAGACAGAATAAGAAAAAGAAACAGAATGGGTGATGACAAATGTGAATGTTTATATATATATATATATATATATATATATATATATATATATATATATATATATATATATATATGTATGTATGTATTTAAATAAAAGAAAGAACAGTAAGATATATAATCCGGTGTTCTTATAGATATTTTATTTTACAAAATAGTGCTCAATGTAAATTTACAGAGCATTAATATTATAAATTAATTGATTTAAAATATGTTTTTTTTCGCTACACAGTTCTAACCATGTTTCAAAAATGGAAGCTAAAAGCCACGAATTTTATTTTGCAATTAAATTAAAGACATTAGTTCCATTTCATCCTTAATATATATATATATATATATATATATATATATATATATATATATGCGAAATGTATCTCTAAAATATTCTTCATCCTCACCCAAATTTTCTTACCCTTTCTCGCAGTTCATCGACTGCCGTTTCATCATGGCATCTTTGATCTTGTCGGTTAACCTGACGTACATCCTGTCTCAAAAGAGCTGTACCAGTTGTTTTTCCGTCGGTCGCCATTACGACTTACCCGCTATCATTTTACTCTGATGAGATATTTATAAATCGTTGGCTTGATGCATCTATCTTTTCTTCTTCGTTCTTTCTGATATCTTCTTCCAACTTTTGCATCTTCTTTTTGGTTTCGTTTTCACCTTCTTTTTCCTTCACTTTGTATTTATCTTTGTTTTTTTGTTTTTTTTCAGTGTCTTTTATTTTTCTTTCAGTCTTTTACGTCTTCTTTTTCGCTTTCCTTTTCCCTCACTTTCTCTTTTTCTTTGTTTCCTTCAACGATTTTTTTTGTCTTTCAGTCTTTTACTTCTTTTCACCTTCATTTTGTCTTTATTTTTTTTTATCTCCTTTTTTCATTTATTTTCTTTTTCGTTCTTTTGAACACTTTCTACTTCTTCTTTTTCGATATTTTCTTTCTTTCTTTCTTTCGTTTTCTTTATCTTATCGGTTCTTGGTATCTGTGTTTAATTTTTCTAAGCATTCCTCTTTATTTTGTTATTCATCCAATTTTTCACATCTTTATTTTCTGCTTTACATTTTTATATTTATTTATCCTTTCTATTTTTTTTTCCTTTCGTGTTTTCTTTCCACGTCTTTGTTCTTCATTTTCTTCTTCATCTTTCTTTTTTTTCTACAGTTTCTAATTTAATTTTTATAAGCTTTCTTTCTTTTCCGTTTTCTTTATTCACCTTTTGGCATTTTTATTTCCGTTTTTCTACGTTTTTGTTCATTATTTTCTTCTTTATTCATTTTTCTTTATTGCATTTTCTACTTCTTTTATAATTTTTCTTTTTTTTTTTTTTTTGATCTTGTATATTTCTGGCTTTCATTTTTATATTATTTTGTGTGTTTTTGATTTTTGTTACAGTGTTATTTTTTATTACTGTTTATTTTTTTCTATGATATTTTTTTGCTTCTACATATTTTTTTATTATTTATTCTCTTATTTTTTGTTTCCTTTTCTTTTTCCTGTTATTTTTTGATTCTGCTTTCTTTTCTTTTTTTTCAGTGTTATATTTTCTGAGTCTGTCTCTATTTCTGAGATGAGGTATTATGTACAGTATTTACATTAGTCGGACTATTGTCCTCATCTTTGTCGCCATATTTATTACAACGTTTCGGCCTTTCAGTATCTGTCTCTATTTCTGAGATGAGGTATTATGTACAGTATTTACATTAGTCGGACTATTGTCCTCATCTTTGTCGCCATATTTGTCACAACGTTTCGGCCGTTGTACGCTCCGGCCTTCTTCAGAGTGTGAGTTCAATACCCGGTTAAGGCAGTGGAGAACTTTCAGAGGGAAAATTAGCAGGAGATAACTGATAACTGACATCCATCAAACATGGCACGTGGAACTAGAACAGTCTACCCCAGTGAGCCAAATAAAGGTTCAGTTCGAAATTCCAACCACCTGAAGAAGGCCGGGGCGTACAACGGCCGAAACGTTGTGACAAATATAGCGACAAAGATGAGGACAATAGTCCGACTAATGTAAATACTGTTATATTCTCTGCTTATTTTTTCTATGATATTTTTTTTGATTTTGCTTATTTGTTATGGGTTATTTTTTCGAGGTTGTTTTTTCTACGTCTTTTTTTCCTATGTTTCTACATCTTTTTTCTATTTTACTTTTTCATTCTGCATCTTTTTTAGGTTCTTTTTTGTTTCTGCATCTTTTTTTCTATATTTTTTAGTTTCTTTTTTATTTGCAATTTTTTCTGAATTTTTTCTGAATTTTTTTCTGTGTTACTTTTTGTTTACATTTCTGTTTTCTATGTTACTTTTTTATTTCTGTTTCTTTCTTCTGTGTTATTTTTTTTACTTCAACGTCTTTTTTCAGAGTTATCTTTTTATTTCTGTTCCTTTTTTCCTATGTTATTTTTTGTTTCTTCCTATTCTTTTCTAGGTTATTTTCTGTTTCCTTTTCTTTCTTCTATCTTATTTTTTTTTTGTTTCTACATCTTTTTTATGTTACTTTTTCATTCTACATCTTTTTTTAGGTTCTTTTTTATTTCTGCATCTTTTTTCCTCGGTTCTTTTGTTTGTTCGTGCTTCTTTATTCTATGTTATTTTTCCTTTTCTTTTTTCTGTGTTACTTTTTTGTTTTTGTTTCTTTTTTCTATGTTGTTGTTTTTCGTTTATTGTTTTTTCTTTCTGTTGCTTTTTTTTTTTGTATATTATTTTTCTTCCACTTTTTTGTTATTTTTATTTTTATTTGTTATTTTTTGTTTCTGCTCCTTTTTTATAGTTTATTCTTTTCCTTCCGCAACTTTTTCTAGCTTATTCGTTTTTTTACTTCTGATTCTTTTTCCTTTTTTTTGTTTTTCATTCATTTTTCTAGTTTATTTTTTTCTGCTTCTCTTTTCATAACTTTTCTTCATCTTCCATCCTTAATGTTTTTAGTTTTAATTTCTATATTTCCTCTTCTATTTTTCTTTATTTTTTTCATTTCTTTATCGTCTCTTTTCTTTTGTTATTTTTGTTCATTTTCCTTTTCTTTAATTTTCTTCTTCTTTACCTTCTCCCCTGTTGCGCTTTCTTTTTTTTCATCCTTTTTTTTTATTTTCATCATCTTTTCATTTTTTTCTTCGTTTCATATGTTTCCTTTTCTCATTTTCTACCTTTTTCGTCTTTTCTTCTTTTTTTTTCTGACACAGTTTTCTTTTTTCATTTTCTCTTTTCTTTCCCCCATCTTTTGCCTCAATTCCTTTTTTCGACATCCGCTTTTCTCTTCTTTTATTTCCATTATTTCTTTCCTTTTTATCTTTATCATTTTTTATTTTTGCTTTCACTGTTTTTTTCGTTCTTTTATCTTTTTCTCTTCCGCATTTTGTTGGCCATTTTCTTTTTTTACACGTCTTCTTTTTCTCTATTTTCTTTCTTGCATTATTCTCTTTTCCTTCTTTTGCGCCTTTTTTTCTTCATTCCTTCCCGCCTTCTTTTTTTATTCACTTACCTCTCTTTTGCGGCTTTTTTTCACTATGTTTTTTCATTTTCTATTTTTCTTCTTCTTCCTTTTCTTTTTCTGTTATTATCTGTGTATGTTATGTTTCCTGATTTTTATCCTGTAGAGCCGGGTCCAAACTATGGTACTTAGGCTCTACAGGAGAATTTTCATTTAATTGATAGCACTTTTCTTAATATATGGGTTGTTCTTAGTAGGGCAATTTTCTGGACAACATGTATGTTTATGTAACCTGGGACACTATTGGTAAAAATTCTCCATTCCTTTTCTCACGAGGCCCAGTGCTCCGATTATTATTGGTACAGTCTCAATCTTCATTCCCCACATCCTGTTAATCTCGATCTCCAGGTCCTTGTATTTGGACAATTTCTCTATAATTTTCATAGAGGTGTTTCCCTCAGATGGTACTGGTATGTCAATAAGCATACACTTCCTGAATTTCTTGTCTTTTATAATAATATCAAATCTGTTGGCATTTATTTCCCTGTCAGTTTGAATTGGCATGTCCCAGGGGATATTTATCAGCTGAGTGGCGCTAATGCATGGCAGAAGAGTAATGGTGACAATGAATCTTCTTGGAAAATCCCGCTTTTGATGCTAATTGGTCCCGTTTGTATGGTTTATGTTTAGTGTAGTCTTCCAGTTTTTCATGCTCTTCGTTATGAATTTGACCATTGTGGGCCATACCTTCTATATTTTAGGCTCTGCTATATCCGTGGGTGTGGTACACTGTCGAACGCCTTTCTGTAATCGATCCAAGCTATCACTAAGTTCCTTTTCCTTGTTTTCACCTCTTCCAATATTGTTTTATTGATAATTAGTTGCTCCTTGCACTTCCTCTTTTAGATCCCTTTTGTTCCGCTGGGAGTAAATTGTTAAGAAGTTTTATGTCCTCTCGGTTTTGATAGAATTAAGGATCTTGTATATTGTCGGTAGGCAGGTAATGGGCCTATAGTTCTTCGGGTTCTGCGTCTCTTCTGTTTTTGGGAGTAGGTATGTTACTCTTCACGTGAGCCATTTGGGGGATTTTTCTGGATTTATGAATACATCACTGTATGCCTGTGCGAGGTCTTGGTGTGTGCTAGATAGTTTTTTTTTATCCGAAAATTGACTATTCGGTCTATTCCTGGTGCTTTCCAATTTATGGTTTTGCAGATGGCAGCGTTTTTGTTTGTTTGTTTGTTTTTTTTTTTGTCTTTTGTTTTTTTGTTTTGTTTTTCAGTAATATTGATATCCGTCCATTTTCTGGCACTCTATATATGAGTGTTATTCCTATTGTTGCTTGATCCATGTAGCTCTTTCAATGTGCATTTTGAAGTTTTCCCACATCTTACACAAGTACTCCTCGACTTCCTGGATATTAGGTGGGTCATTTATCTTCTTTTTTACTTTTCCCCAGATCTTGATATAGTTTCTTGGCACCTTCTTTGAAGATCTTGTTTTGCCAGAAGAATCTGGTTCTTTTTTCATAACGCCTGATTCTCTGTGCCTTTGCTTGTATTCGTTGTTTCAGATTCTATTTAACTTTTAGTACGTCAGTCTTAAACTTTATGTCAATATTTCATTTCAGTTGTCTCCTTTTTCTTTCTTTCCTTTTGGAGCCCTTGCCTACTCCACTTAGAATTGACACTTGTGGTATTTTTCTTTTTCGTTTGCGTTGGGTTTTTACTTTTTCAAATATTGTTTCTGCGAGGCCGCGTATATAAGATGATTAATTTATGCCAGATTCATCGCTCTTTCCATTTCGTTCCTATGTTTCTAATTGCTTGGTTAGCGAGTTTGGTGTTTTCCTTCACTTGACGGTTCTTTCTTACTTTTGGAATTGTTGGCCTTTCCTCGAAATACATTTTCTTTACATTCTCCTATTTATATTGGATATTTTTTGTCATCTCTGTTTATCTCACTCATATTCGTCGTTATCTCCCTCTATTTTCTTGTGTACCTTAGAAGGATTGTTACAACTGGTTTCTATTTGTTCCTCTGTATATGTTTCCTCTGGGTTGTTGGCATTTAGCACTTCGATGTTAACGCTTAATCTATTTTTGATGTTTTCTCGGATGTTTCGAGTTCTATGTCAGGTATTCTTTTTTCCTGATGATGTCACGCCTGATATTGGCTACTTTGTTGAAGGATGTTTTTCTCACCAGCTTTGGTCGTTGTTGTTTTCATTTATAAGTGTTTGGATCCCAAAGAGACACAACGGGATTCACCAGACTCCGACATAACTTCAGTTTTCAACGGAATTTTCTTTGACTTTTTTCTCTCTGAATCTATATTCAAATCTTCCTGATCTTATTATTACACAAATATATTTTACCCACAAATACAATTAATATTTAGATATTAATAATATTTAAAGAAAAGTTTATTATAAGGGTTTGTATTGTATGGCTTATAAAATCAAAATTGTATATAAATTACTAATAAATAAATAACAAAAGACTGTTAAAAATTAACCGATAAGTCACTATCACCACCAACACCACCATCATCACCATTACCACTATTATTATTATTACTATTATTTTATTCCTATTTGTTTCTTTCTTCTTCCTATCATCTTACTTATTATAAAACGCAGATTGTGTGTGTGTGTGTGTGTGTGTGTGTGTGTGTGTGTGTGTGTGTGTGTGTGTGTGTGTGTGTCTATACGTTTATATATTGGATCGGATTTCCTACATTTTTCAACCGATTTCAACAAAACTTCACAGGACTGCGTAAAATTACCTTGCGGTGGTTCTGACAGCGCCAAAAATTGGAAAAACACAATTGTTTTTGCACGAAATCAATTTGAAAACACGATTCTGTCGCCAGAATGAAAGGGGGACAACTCATATCGAGTTATACTTATTATAAAACCCAGGTTGTTTGTCGGTGTGTGTGTGTTCGTTTATATATGGGATCGGATTTCCTACATTTTTCAACCGATTTCAACAAAACTTCACTTTTTTTGGCAGGCAGTGTTTCTTATTGTCTTGCACACTTTTTTCTTTATTTTTACATTCAGAATGCCTTTAAAATGCGTAAAAAAAAACTAATTAAGACATGCGTGTCCGTCAACCTTAAACAATAATCTTTGTCAATTTTATTTTTCAGTCTTTAGGATGGTCGATACTTGATCTATCTCTTACTGTTACATTCCCGGGCAACGCTGGGATCTACTGCTAGTCAGTAATAAGAGTTTATTATTATTATTATTATTATTATTATTCGGATTCTTTTTACCTTTTCTCTTCACTTTTACCATGTTGCTCTTCCTTTTTACGCTTTTCTCCCCGGCCTTCTACTATTACTCTCTCTCTCTCTCTCTCTATTTCCCCTCTCTTCTCTCTCTCCATTTCTTTTTATTTTCCTTCTTATCCACCTCGTCTTTCCGCGCATTTTTTCCTTCTACATTTTCATGGCGCCTGCTCATCTCTTTCATCTTGTCTTCTTTTGTCACGACATCTTAGAATTTTTCATCTTCATTTTCTTTTGTTTTGTTTTTTTTTCGTTAGAATTTCGAGGTCGTGTCTTTGTTATAGACTCAAAGACAGGAATCGGTGACTTAGACTTCTGGTCAAGTCTACTTATATCACTAAACTCCGATAACGATACTAAAGAAAGACTTGTCCAACTAACAAAACATTTACAATAACATTGTTTGTATCGTCATGTCTAACAGCAATTCACAGCCGTCAAGAAACTATTTACCGTGTCCCTTCTGGTCGTTATCGATCACTGCTTCCCACAATTACCTGTTCCTTGTCGCTCTTAATAATTTTTGTCTTTTGTTATTGTTATAACTGAACGTACCTATTCTATTATTAATAGACTCCCCCACACATAATAAGTAGTAGTAGTAGTAGTAGCGGTCGCCAGTTGAACTCAGTGGTGTTGAGTGAGTCAGTCGATGTCGGACATTGAAGTATCAACCATCACAACTAGATTGCTGCGTCATTAACTCTTATTTCAAGTTCCTAACGTTTTGTACGTCGGACCCTTTTAGGGCCGACTTAGTGAAATACAAGCCTCTACTGTGAAAACTACTCTACAACAGTTATTTTTCTTAAACCTTGCTCCGCCATCCATTTAATCAAGCTCTCTAGGTAGGCCATGAGTTGTTTCCCATCAGTTCTTCTTTCCTTCATTCGATTCTGTGCGTATCAAAGTTTCTAAGCCTTCTTTCTATATTACATGCCCTAGCCATTTTAAGTATCTCTTTCTGATTTTAAGTATAAGTTTTCTTTTGTTTCCATTTTATCTAAAATCCTCATCGTTGCTCATGTGTTCGGTTCTCGGTAATCTCAGAATTCTTCTGTACAACCATATTTCAGTTGCTTCATGTCTCTTCTTCATCTGCGAGAAGATTGTCCAGCATCCACTGCCATATGGGAGGACCGATATTGCATAACACTTCAGTATTCTTTTCTGCCTTTTTTCCCCTTGTTTCTTAATACTTTTATGGATTTTAACAATTATATACCCTGTGAAAGCTAAATATTTCCTCTTTCCAACGGTGTTGTGGCGGGTGGCTATAGCTTGAATAGGTCACTTAGAGAGTTTGGAAAAAAAATTCGCCAGCAGTTTCCAGCGTGGCCTCCGCCTTTTTTTTTTTTTTTTTGACTCTGGAAAGATCCCCTTCCCGAAAATATGGGTAGCAATTTTTTTTGCGCCATTAAGGGCGCCACCTACAAAATTTTCGGGTTTCTTTGCAGCACTATTAACAATGAAAAGAGAAAAAAAGAAAAACAAGCCCTTCTCACTGCACGTAGAGTACAGGGCCAGCACCTCACGTTTAGGGCTACAGCCTACCTACATCAGGTGTTGCTGTTGAGGTTTCCATAGCAAAGTCACTTTTACGGGGTGAAATTGCTAGCTCTGTCTAACCGGCTTTTAATTCAAGCGTTAAAATTCTCCTAGACTGATTTCCAACCAAGCCTGGAGAATTCCGTATGCCTTACTATTTAACCCATAGCAGGAGGGAGAAGAGATTGGTTCATACCTTTTCTAAGTGCATTGTGCGTGGGTGGACGCTACAGACGTACGGCAACATCACATTGAAACACCGGTTCTTGTTCGATCACCGAAGTTAAGCAACGTCGAACCTAGTCAGTACCTGGGTGGGTGACCGCTTGGGAATACCAGGTATTGTAAACTTGGGTGTGTGCGGATGCTGTGACGACTTGGAGTAAGAAATAGGAAGGCCGAGTTCGAATTCCATTAACCAATGCGCTGGACCGTTGGTGAAGACGGCCGGAGGTGACACGCAGTAAAAATGAAGACAACAGTCCGAACAATGTAAATAGATAAATAAGACGGTAAGTTCGAAAACGAACCCACTTCTGAAAGGAGGGACGTGGTAACCTCAACATCTCTGATACAAAAGAAATCGGCAAGCCATTACATTATACTGCCTTGAATGTCATCATGAACCACAATTGTGAGATGGAGGGGAGTGGTGACCATAACAGTGGTGCAAAATGCGCTAACTAGATAAATGAATGAATGCGCACACATAGATACCATCGCCAGTCATCGAGAAGAATAACTCTGAATTCAAAGTATCTGTGGCTTTGGAGGTCTTACTTTTTAAACATCTGAAATGAGGGACGAGGTCACGACAACGTCCCCCGGGGCAAACGGAACCTGCAAGCCATTGTACTATTCTACTGTGAATGTCACAATGAACCACAATTATGAGATGGAAGGGAGTGGTGACCACAACGGCGGTGCAAAATGCGCTAAATAAATAAATGAATACACACACATATATACCATCGCTAATCAAGAACGATAACTCTGAATTCAAACCATCTGCGGCCTTGTGGGTCTTACCTCTTGAACATCTGAAAAAAGGGACGGGGTCACCTCAACGTCCCCCAGTGCAAACGGAACCGGCAAACTATTCTATTATATTGCCTTAAATGTCACAATGAGCCACAATTGTGAGATGGATGGGGGGCAAGGGGGGCAAGGGGGCAGGGGGCAGGGGGGCGGTGCAAAAAGGCGCTGATTAAAATGAATAAATAAGTACAATAACGTGGAGTAGCTCACCTAAATGTGTCGGAAAGAAAAAAAACAAAGTCCAGTTATTTTGAGGTATTTCTGGAGAAACGTATTAAATGGTCCTTTTAATATTTACTCGTTGCGTCTGAGGAAATGGTACGCGTGTTGGCAGCAACGATTACTCTTTAGGCAATGTTTTTTTTCCTCTCGCCATTTTTCTTCCCAATACGGTGCTGTCACGTTGAAACACCGTACGATCACAGAAGTTAAGCAACGTCGAGTCTGGTCAATGCCTAGATGGGGGACCTCTTGGAATTACCAGGTGCTGACAGTTTGGATGTGCGGGTAGTGTAACGTATAACGGCTCGAAATTGGAAATCGAAGAACCGAGTTCCAATTCCAATTGTGATCATTATATTCCCCATTTGAAAAGGTCTAATTACAGTGAGTCCCCGCCTATTCGCGTTTTAGCATTCACGGCTTCACACATACGCGGATTTTTCTTTAGAACATATGTACTTGTTATTGAAACCCGGAATATTCGCGTGTTTTTCTGAAGAACATATCTACAAATTATTCGCTGAGAACTCCCCCGATTCGCGTATTTTTTCGATAGAACATATTTAAAAAATATTCTTGTATTATTTTCCTGGTATTTAAGTGACTTAAAACCTATGACATTCCATTTTTATGGCAAAAATTGGCAGAATTGTACATCTTCATTGTAAAAAATCAAATACAAAAACATGCATAATACTTGGGCTTTGTTCTTTGTTAGGGGCTGCAGCTGGGGTCTTAAAAGTGGCTTATGCTAAGTCTGGGAGCATCATCACTGTTCTATTTTTAGAAAATGTTTTAAACTTTATATCTTATACAGTATTTTCAATGGTTGTATCGATCTATGAGTAATTAAAAACAGTTATTGTGCGTATGAAAGAAAATTTACGCTAAGGGTATGGTCATCAATACTATTTTTCAGAAATGTTTTTAAAAGGGTCTTAAATATTTTTAAAGTGTTTAGGATGAAAGTTTAAGGCATATGGAGTTTTAACAATCAAAATAGGTACTTATACTTTTACGGCGAGGGGGCGGTTACAAGTATTCACGGATTCTAACTATTCGCGGCCGATTCTGGTCCCTAATTCCGCGGGGAACTCACTGTACATCTCTTTCCCCCAGCTATGGGTTAAATAGTAGGACACGTATCAGTAAATTGTTATTATCTCAAAAAAAATTCTTACAATCTAAAAATATCTTCTGGCTTTAAATAACCTGCAAAAGAGTTGATAAACCATAAAATAAGAAATAAATCAAACCCACTGTATCCTTCATCACTTCCAATGCTCATTGTCCATCCATGATTTTATCTAAACGTTATACAAGCGTTGATTAGTTCCAGATGTGAAAAACAAAAAACAACAGGGGATTCACAAATATTTTCTAACGTATCCTCTATTTCGCCTGTCTTTTGATCTATCTTTTGGCATAAAGAATTTTAATTTGTACGCCTTTCTCTATATGCTTTTCTATCTTACGCTCAAACAGTCTATTGATATCCAGCCAGTAGGTTTGTTTATCTGTCAGTCTTTCAACTCCACCCCTTCTTATGAATCTCTTTATTATGTAAATATAATATAAATAAATTTATCATTGACGCAAAAGAAAATTGCAACACCCTGAAGGACGAAGCTGATATCAAGATGGTGTTTCCTAGGGTTCGCGGCATCTCATCTTTTTCTCTAAAATCGTCATGTTTGATTCCAGTTAGTTTAAGCCTCATCTCGCTCATAAAGCCCAATTTTCAAAATCCCTGACTTGCCCTATAACAGTCACATGAAAATTTCAATCGAGCCTTGAGATGATGACATATCTGCTCTGGTGCTCCTAATAGATAGATAGATAGATAGATAGATAGATAGATAGATAGATAGATAGATAAACGTAGTGAGCCAGACAAACCTACCTAGGTTTCACCTAAACGGATTGTCAGGGAAAGTCGGCTAAAGAGGCAAAGGGAAACGCTTATTTATAGGCGATAGCCAAAATTATGCCATGTGACCAAAGAAAGAAACACACAAACACAACCAAAACTCTACGGTTATATTGAGCTCTTTTTAGTTAGTTAGTTTACTCGTATCGGGGTTTTTTCTTTGGGCTTCAGACCTGCATCTGTGCGATTTTTTCGACAGACTTTCATGTTTGTAGCTCTTTCTTTTTTTAAAAACTTTTTTTCCCTCGAGATTGATTTGATTATTGGCAAATCAAAAATTCGATGGTTTTTCGAAACGAGTATATATATGTAATAGAAATTGGGAGGATGTGAGATAATTATAATTAAGTAATTCATCGAGACTAGAAGAAACCTCAACAGAATGCAGAAAGCACTGGACGGCCGTTTCGTCCTATATTTGGGATCAATCAGCAGTGCGCATCCACTACCGAGAATTGAAACCCTCACAGTTACGTTATTGGGCAAACGTCTTACCAACTGTTCCAACGGGCAATATATGGATAGATATTTTGCACTGTTACATTACGATTGTAGCATCGTGATTTCCCACCTGAAGAAACGTTATTTTTTAACGTTGAAACTAGAATAACAGTTTTGTAGTGGGTATGTACATGTTCTAATGTAACAGTGCATAATAAATAAATAAATATTTATTGCTCTACTTTTGTATTGAGCCCCGTTTTAAAGTAATGTATTGACTCGGAAATTTTACTCTTCGTTCTTTTACATATATATATATATATATATATCATTTATAATAGAAATATATATATATATATATATATATATATATATATATTTGCCAAATATGAATATTTTCCATATGCGTATGACGAATTGAGGAAGCATGAAACTTTAGGTTGCACTACAAACGTAGGTATATGTGTATTTATTAATTTATATATATATTAATAAATACACATATATATATTAATAAATACACATACACATAAATAATAAATACATATACACATATTTATTAATATCTATATATTAATAAATACACAGATATATTAATACACACACAAACACGCACACACACATATATATGTGTGTATATATATATATATATATATATATATATATATATATATATATATATATATATATATATATATATATATATATATATAGGTTAATAAATACACACATACCTACGTTTGTGGTGCAACTTAAACTTTCATGGTTTCCAAAGTCGTCAGGCACATATGGCAAATATTTCTATTCACACCCACAGATAGATAGATAGATAGATAGATAGATAGATAGATAGATAGATAGATAGATAGATAGAAGTAAAAGGTCTGTCACGTAGCTGATTTCAGCATCCCGACGCCAGAGTTTTGTAGCAGAGCCTCCGGGAATTACATGATCCACTCGTCAGGGGATATCAGCAATTGACTGTTTATAGTTCTCGATTTTTCTTTTAAAATGATTTTTTCATTGACGCAAGTTTTTTTCATTCATAGTGTATATTTGCGTTTAAGTGTTTCCACGCTTGCTCGCATTCGTCCGTCTGCGCGTGTGTGCCTCCGTATGGAATTGTCGTGATTATTTGTCCTTTTCGTCTTTTTCACTTTCCACTCACTTCTTATCCTTTCCTCTTTTTTTTTCTTCTCTTCTTTCTCTTTTCTTTTAATTGTTACTATTTGACTTCCGGTTTTCTATATATGTTGTCGTTGATAAGAAAGCCGTTCAATAAGTTCTAAGCCTCACACATTTTTGTTGTGGCACTACTTCTTATAAAACTAAAAAAAAAAACTAATTCTGATTTCTGTCTTAATTTCTGTGCAGGTGAGACCCAATCAAAGGTGAAAGGTGAGCGACAAACCTAAAAAAGGACAGAACACAGACCCGAGAATTTATAAAGTGTCTGTAAAAGAAAGGTATGACGCCCAAGGAAATCCATGAGGGCATAATACAGACACTTGCTGTGGACCCCCCCTTCTTATGCGAGTGTGAAGAATTGGGCTGCGAATTTCAAGCGGGGCAGGGACAGCACAGAAGGTGACCCCGGTCAGGTCGTCTAAAAACCTCAACCATTGATGAACAAGTTGTTGCCATTCCCCATATAGTTTTGGGCGACAGACGTCTTCCTGTCCAACAGATAACTAAGTCCATAGGCATTTGTTCTAAT